AATTTTTTATATAATTTTTTAAATTTTATTATTTTGTGTGTGTTTGTACCGTCAAATCAGATCTGATACGTACAGGAGGAGATTGCCCTTCCTTTTCCGGCAGAGCATCTGGTGGATTTGAACCACCTATCTCTATGATTGCAGTGTAGCTTCTTGCCACTAGGCCACCAGAGCTCCCCTTACTGATTTTTCTTTAACCTGGCTGATCTCCCGTTTCCTGACAGATAGGTTGTATTCGTGAAGTTGTTACCTTTTTCTTATCATTTCACCAGTTTTTACTTAGTTCATTTCCAGCTCTTTTGTGAGGTTTCCTGTAACAATTATTTTTTTTATTCACGGATTCTCTTTACCCCAGTATTACTCACACCTTCATCCTGTGTTTTCTCTAATAGTCCTGGAATTCTCCTTTCATGCATTGTTATGTGTGCCTTAAACTTAATTCTTCAAGAACACGTTTTTCTTCCCACATCCAGGCCTTGGTCTTTCTGTCTTTCTAACCCCCCTTTAAGAAATTGATCAGCTTCTTTCGTTCATTATTGGCCTGCCATTCAGGTACCCTAACTTAAGCAGAGACTCTTGGGTCCAGCTTTTCATAACATGCATGCCCCCGAGGATTTGTCTCCTCTCTCCATACAGGCATTCCAGAAAATGAATACAAATCTTCTTTCTTTTCTTTTTAATTTTTATATTACACTGTTTTGTTTACAGAATCCATGTACACTGAGTTTCACACTTTCCTTCTTTCATACTGTTTCATATAATCCTTCACATGCATTGTATTTTATAAAATACCCATCACAATAGCTAATCACAAGATTAAATACTTAGGAGTAAATCTAACTGGAAATACAAAAGACCTATTCAAAGAAAATTACAAAACATTACTACAAGAAGCAAAAAGGTACCTTCAGATTTCTCGGCACGAATTGGTGAGCACATCCATGGTAGTCTCTCTTTGTTGATATATGTCAGTTGATATTCCATCAGTGTCTGGACTCTTGTTTTATGCCAAATCAACCTTAAATATCCCATATAAATTAAAATAATAAGCTTCAAAAAATAAAAATAAAAAACTAATCATCATTGAACTATGCTCACCATTACCTGGTCTTTTCAGGTTCCCACCGGACCTTTCCCATTTCCTTTGCCCTCTGCGTCCACCCGCCAAATTGTGCGAATCTATGATTTCTCCCCTTCCCATCCTCACCTCCCTGCCCGTCTTTACCCTTGTCCCACATACACATTTTACCACTTGTCCTTTTATTTTTTATAATAATGGTCTTATGCAGTATTTATCCTTATGAGACTGAGTTACTTCACTCAGCATAATGGTCTCCATTCTCACCCAAGTTATGTAGTATTGTTTTAAATTGTTGCTCCTGAGTGCTGCGTAGTATTCCATCATGTGAATGGACCACAGTTTCTGGGTTTCCATCCCTCCTTCCTCCCTGAGCAGCTGTGCTGGCAGCTCCATGCTTGCTGCAGCTCAAGGTCTTCAGTTCTGACCTGTGGGGACCCCCTGCTTGCAGATTTAACTCTGCATTTTAAAGAATGTTTGTACTAATACCTTGACAGTGCTTGGTGGGTGTGAAGGGATGTGTGTGTGTCTGTGTGTCTGAGAAAGAGAGAGAAGTGTTAGACTATCTGATCAAGATTATAGACTATATTACTAGACTATAATAGACTGTATTACTAGAAAGACAGCCTTTATTAGAAGTGCCACCTAGCCCATGCATGGCGCTACCACCTTGCGCAATAACTTAAGGAGACTGTGGATCATTCCTTTTGAGAACCAGCATCTTATAAACATGACAAATCCCCTGATGTGAGTGCCCTGTGAGGTGGTGGCATGTGTAGGGACCTGCTTTATTCTAAACCATTTTGACGTTTGAGCACTGGAACACTGGTCTTTAGAACACCCAAGAATGTTGTATATTTGCATTTACCAATCTGACAAAGTTTTATCAACATGGTATTAGTAAATAGCATTAAAATGTTAGTTAAGTCTTACAAAACCAGTGTTATCCAACTGATTGGACTTAACTTTTCCACTAAGATTCCTTAAAAATATTGTGGCCGTGCTTCAGAATAACCTGTAAGCAGACAGGTCCAGCTATCGTAGAAATAAAGACAGGACTGGAGGAGGACACGCCTTATAAATTACTCCATGTCTTTAGATAGATTATTCATATGTATGTATTGTGTCATGGTTTTAAACCATGACAGAATATTTATTGTCTTTTTATTAGCATTCCAATACTTTGTAAGTGCTTTTGATTTTTTTTTTTTCTAGTATACAAAATCCTTCAGACACCTTGAATCCAACTGAAATTTCCTTTGGAATTTTTCTTTGCTTAACTCCAGATTTTTACATTGAAATGCTTCCATAGATTTGAGTCTGTTTTCCTCCTTTGAATTTTCTTATTTTTCCATCATGAGTAAATTCAGCTCCAAAAACTCTTTCTCAGAAGTCGAAGATGATCGTTTTACTGTTGGTGTTTACATCTTGTGATACCTAAAATAAGTTCTTAATCTATATTTTTTTGTTTTTTGCTATTTTTTCTCATATGCCTAAGGGATCATTTTTAAGTGTGTGTTTGCCAGTGGCCCTTGGATTATTTGTGTGATGTTGTTAGATGCCAGTGAATCAATTCTAACTCCTAATGGCCACTTGGTGTAACCAAACCCTGCATAAAACAGCACTAAACACCACGTATGCTGTATGTACACCTGAATTCTACATAGAAAAGAGCTAAAATACATGTATGTTTGTGTACAGCCAACCCTGTCTACAGCAGATCTAAACAATGTGTGTTGTATGTTCACCTGAACCCTACATACCGCAGAGCTAAACAACATGTGTGTTTTATGGACAGCTGAAACCTTCCTACTACAGGACTAAGCACTGTGTGTACCAACAGAAGTGAACCGATAGGTGCGTCTGTTTAGAACATGTTTCCTCTTCCTTCTAGGTCACCTTCCGAACACGGATATACCACTGTAACATTAACAGCCAAGGTGTCATCTGCCTGGACATCCTGAAGGACAACTGGAGTCCAGCCCTCACCATTTCCAAGGTCCTCCTGTCCATCTGTTCGCTTCTCACCGACTGCAACCCTGGTAAGAGGTGGCCCAGGACTGACCTGGAGCGCGGCAAGGCTTACACACAGGCCGCAGCAGGCCGCACCCCCCCCCAATAACCTGCCCCCTTTCCAATTAGGGGTTCCCCATCAGGCTCCCTAAGCCCCATCGTTTGCCAGGGAGGAGAAAGCGTAGTGTGGCGTGAATTCATGAAAAAGCCATTTGAGAAGAGAAAGTGCATTTAAGGCAGGCATTAAATTCCGCTGCCAAATAATAATAAAAATTCAAATGGGATGGCTTAATCTTTAATTAGGTGCCTACCACAAGATGTTAATTTGAGAAATGTAGGCTATTAAAATCCAATAGCAGCCAGGCCACACCACGCAGACGTGACCTCTTAGGCATCTTAACAGCCGTGCAGCCTGACAAGCTATTAGAACAAAACGAAACAAAAAAAAAGCTGAATGGCCTTGAACTAGGAAATCCCCGGAAACAGACCGGGAAATGCTGCAGCTGAGAAAGGCTGCATGTAGCCAAGCTCCCGTGGCGTGAAGCCGAACGCCCTTCCTGCGTGCCTGTCCAGGGGGTGTGAGTGTGTCTCAGCACAAATTCTTTTTAACTGAAAGGCACATCGGCCGCTGAGGTTTTATGTATTTGGATTTATATTAGGTAATGCACAAAATCAAAGAGCCCACCATCAGGTTTTCCTTCATGTTCTCAATGTTCTGTGAGTATTTCTTGAATCAGCGCCTTCTTTTCCAAGATCCCATCTTCCACGGGTAGGAGTGAGCTCGCTTTCCTGGGTAAGTGAGCTTTTAGAGCTAAGAAAAGAACCAAGATCAATCGAGGTCTCTTGGGAACTCAGTTGGTTTCTAAAGCGTAAAGAAATGCTTATCTTTTTCTGATTGTGCAGTTTCGCTCTTTTTGATTAATCAAAACATTTTTCCACTGAAGATAGCTACAATTGAATGAAATTGTGATATGTTCTCACGGTTCATATGTCACAAATTCAGGAAGCCCTGGTGGTCTAGTGATTAGAAGCTGTGCTGCCATCCCAGAGGCACAGAGTTCAAATCCACCGGCCGCTCAGTGGAAGATGGACAGTCTCCTCCCGTGCAATTAAACTGCCTCTGAAAACTCATTTAGAGGGGTAAAGATGATTTGGTTACGACTGGATGATACACAGCAATAACATGTAACAAATTAAGACTTTCAGCACCAAGAAGGAAAACATACTTTTGGGAGATTATTCTAAAGCACTTTAAAATCTAATTCATAGCTTAGTACAGAGTTAGTCCTGTATCACTGATTTAATACTGAACAAGAAATACTCAGAGCTTCCAAACTTACTCCTGTTTCAACCCCATCTTTCTCACTGACTATACTCTCATTTGTCGAGAGTATCACAAAGGGAGTGTGGGTTGCTTTGTTTCTTTTTCCTTTTTCTTTTGCTGACTTGAGACCTAGGCCAGGTGGGGCTCCTGGCACTATGAGAAGTGTATGTGCCACTCCCTTGTATCTGGGTGAAAATAACTGGCATCGAACTGTGGTTTGGTGGTGATGAAAGCGGTGGGTTTTAAGGGCAGAAATTTCTTTTGCAGAGTAATAAAACCGTACCGTGTGTGAGGCACGCTTTTGTGCACTCGGTGAGTGGCAAACCTTCACCTCTGTGCGTTGAAATCTGTGTCACCTGAGCAGAGCTGAGAGGCAGTGCCCTCCAGAGGTACCCAGGCCCCGGTGCTGGGCCTCCTGGCTGACACAGGCCTGAATCCACGTGTGAAAGTGACCTCTGGACAAGCGGCCTGCTTAGAGGAGGGGGTCATCCCAGCAAAGCCTCCATGCAGCAGTCATGAAAGTAGTTGCACGAATCCATTTCTTTGCCCAAGTCTCAGAAATTACAGGTGTCTTCTCCAGAGGTACTTCACCCCAGGTGAAACCAGAGTCACCTGTAAGAAAGAGGTTTAAAAAAAAAAAAAAAAAAAAACAACAAATCAAACCATGCTATTTAAAACCTCTGGTGGACTAATGGTAAGGACTTGTGCTCCCAACCCATAAGTAACACAGTTCAAATCCACCAGCTGCTCCTCTGGAAAAAGATGGACAGTTTCTTCCTGTGTGATTTATGTTGTTGTCATGTGCCATCAAGTTTGTGATTTTAGCCTCTGAAAACACTCTAAGTGGTCACCTCTGGGTCAGTTCCAACAGGACAGTACACGAGAGTAGGAGTGAACCCAGAGATGATAATGTCTCTTGCATTTCACCAGTTACGGACAGCCTGTACTATTTGTCAGATACTTGCTAGCAGCAATTTATATTTTAATACACATAAGACGGCTTCCTAATTGGTCCATCATTTATACATAGGTTGACACTTCTGAAGGCTTTTTAAAAGGAGCTGTTTATCTCAAGTCAAAACGTCCATTCTTTCACATAACAAGTTTATTTGTCTGTCAGTGTTAACTGGTATACTTTCAATGTGTGTAGGAGGGTTTTACCCTAGATTTATGTTACATATCAGTCTAATGTCTCTTCATATTATTACAAATACAGTTTTTAGTTGTTTCCAACTCTTTGCTATTGTGAACAAAGCCACAATAAACATGGGTGTGCATATATCAGCTTGGGTGGCAGTTACGGTTTCTTTAGGGTAAATTTCCAGTAGTGTAATTGCTGTGTCAAATGGTATTTTTATTTGTAGCTTTTTGAGAAAGTGCCCTACAGCCTTCCATAGTGGTTGCACCATTTTACACTCCCACCAACAGTGAATAAGGGTTCCAGTTTCTCCACAACCTCGCCAACATTTGTTGTTTGCTGTTCTGTTAAATTTTGCTATTCTGACTTGGATGAGATAGTATCTCCTAGTTGTTTTGATTTGCATCTCTCTTAGAGCTAGGGATTTTGAACATTTCTTCATGTGCCTGTTGGCCATCTGAATGTCTTCTTTGGTAAAATGTCTGTTCATATCCTGTGCCCATTTTTTGTTTGGGTTGTTTACCTCTATATTATTGTGGTGCTCTACTATTTTATAAATTCTAGATATAAGTCCCTTATCTGATATGTCATTACCAAATATTTTTTTTCTTCCAAAGTGCCCATCAACAAACAAATGGATAGAGAAGCTCTGGTATATTCACTCAATGGAATACTATGCTGCACTGAAAAACAAGCAACTCACGCAATATTATTCAAAATGGGTGACCCTGGAGGACATTATGCTGAGTGAAATATCTCAGTCACAAAAGGACAAATATTGCATAGTGCCACTCTTGTA